ACAAGAATGCAAATTCGTTAAAAGTGACTGAATTGAAAATTTGTTTTTATATAAAAATAGCCAAGCAAAAATAACATACTCACAGCAACCAAACGTTTAATTTTCTGGTGCTCAAAACCAGAGTACTGCAACATTTTGAAAAGCCGCTTCTGAACCGACCTTGTCAACGTCCAATCATTGTCATTATCTCGATTATTATTACATCTACTTAATCCCAAACCTTATTGTTGACACAGTATAAATTTTTCATCTTTCTCATATTTTAAATTTCATTTCATACACGAATATATCCCAGAGGTATATATTTTACAACTGAATGATTTTTATAATAATTGTCGTGGGGATTTTAGTACCTGATTTACTATGAGGATAAAGGTGAGTCTCGTTAGTTAAAAAAAGCTGGTTATGCTTCGAAACGTCTTCGTTCAAATTGAAATAGCTACAAATAAGGTATGGTATTTAGTCCATATATTAAAAACTCTTGTTTAATTTTAGGTGACATTCAAGTCATTAGAACAAATAAATCGGGAAAAGAATCGCACAGAGATCGCAAGCTCGCCCTCATAAAACCTTTATTGGCGGGGTATTATAAGTCACAAGAGGATGGCAGAGTGCAACATCCTGCGTCGGTAGCACAATGGTTAGGACTATCGCCGATCATGCACATGGTCCGGGGTTCGATCCTCTGCTGACGCACACCTGATATCAATGGTTGGCCTGCAAAATCTGGGATACCGATATCACATGCTGAAAATTCCATACTTCTACCAAAAAGGACTGTGTGGAATCAAGCTGTAATCAATGATCAAAAAATCAAAAATCAAAATCCTTAGACATGTTAGCTTAAGTAAGTGATGAGGTTGCGCGCCCACTTTAAGTATGGTATACTGAACACTTCGAATAGGAAACAAGTAGGTGGTTAAAGACTCACAGATTAGTGTTTACTAAGGTAACTGTTACTTTCGGCAAGATTACAACACCATTATTTTGTCAGATTTACATTAACCGTAATTTTATTGAAGCATTAATAGTTAAGTAGTTTGAGGCCAGTGGAAGTATTCAGTGTCACCGGTCAGAACAGATGAAATTATTCTTTTCACTGTTTTTGTAAGCCCACAGCGTCAGTAAGCCTACATTTTAAACCTAACCCAGAGGATAATGGCTTGCCCACGGACACATTTCCTGTATTCGCTTGAGCATTGTGTACTGTATTTTGACTTTGGGACATATTTAAGGACGATAGACACTGAAGGACATTTTTTATGAAGCACTACCGTCAGCCTAACCAACCGACAAAAACAGTAATGGTCGGCACACAGTGTTCAGTAATAATGTAGTCTAATATGGGGTTGTTAAACGGTATAAATTTCTGTAGGGAACCAAAGAAGGTTATCAAATCAGTCGGACATTCAGCGGTCAATTTGTTTATTTGTGCAGACTGGAACGGCTGAAATTATCCCGCATGCTCAAGGTCATTAGTAGAGTGAGACGCTCAAAGGTCATTTTCGTCCATGTTAGTCGGTTATGTTGGATTGCAGTTCCGTAGCCGTTCGTTTACACATTGGTTTTACGTTCTGTTGGCATTTATAGGTGATTCCCATGTACTGATATCATTCTTTTGTAAAATAGTACTGTTCTTCACACGAAAATAGCCACATTTTGACGTAGTCTTCATTGAATGACACTATGTCGAAAGCTGCAGCTTCTACAAGAAATAAACTATTTGTGTAGATGACATTACCCCCCAACTACCCCATCTTCTTCATTGTAGAGATGTTTTGACGCATTCAGCACGAAACACTAATCATTACAACCAATATGCTAAGTGTGTCGCAGTCAGATTAAATGACGCGGACACCAACATAACTAGCCAGAAAAATGAGAATTCCTATCAATCCAGAAAACATATAACAAAATTTTATTGAAAATTATTGACAAAAAACATTTGCCAAGCGAAATTTCAACCAACATGCCGGATAAGTCCAGCCACTGGAACACTGCCGGACAATTGGATTTCTGGGGTACCGGGACTCAGCAGCTCCTCTGTGGTACGAATGTATACTTCTAAAATTTGTTAATATCATTACTAACAAATGCACGTTTCAGGAGTCGTAAGTGTTATATTCTCCCCTAGCTAGTTGGGGCGGTGCTGAGAACGACATGGCCACCGGGTTAGGTGGGGCATGCCAAAGAGTCAGCAGGTAGTGTTGCCGTAGCTCAGATCTAGTAGGATAGATGGCCAACCATCAGTTTCAAGCGTTATTTCAGGTCGAAATCAACTGGAATATAGGTCGAAGTTGTTTAAACAGCCTAACTGATTGTTTTCCTAGAATTCACCCAGTCGGAGATTTTGGATATTAATATGTGTCAGCACTGAATGACAAAATGGATTTATTATGCTCTTGTATCTACTACCAATAGACTGCAGAGTCGATGAGCTATTAGCACTCCTTATGTTATGAATCTTTGCCTGAAGAATGGCATATTCCTCTTCAGATAAAGTTAAGTATTACAAAACGTAAGCCTCTATGTGCTAGATAAGGCTCTAAAACTAAACTGGCTTTTCCTTTCTTGAATAAAAGAAACCTGGATGTACCCGGAAATCTTTTCTCTGTTCATGAAATCCTTCTCACATAAAGTAAATAAAAGCAGCCTATCCCATACAGCCATATTTAGAAAATATATCTTTCAGGAAGTCACTGCCATTAGGTCAAAATTTCTGATATTTGTTTCAGCCCAGGGAACATTCTCGAACCATACAGCAGCATAATTCGGAAGATAGTTACATACTGGTTGTATACGCTATCTCGTCAGACTTCCGGAGAGGGTAGACTTGTGCCCTTGCAAAACCTTTAGTGAAATCATGCGCCCACTCACTCAAGGGAAAATTTTAACCCACACATCTTGGAGGGACTAAAACTTGACCTGTATATAAAACTGCACCAGGAACATGCTGCATTCGGGAACAGTAAGAGGTTAGTGAATTGGATTGTGACGCTGCACATCAACATCGAACTGGGAACAAATTAGCAGCCAACTTTTCACCTCATTTTTATCGGCCTAAAAGGGCCTTCAATGACGTTGCCAGTGCAATAATTGAACAGCCACTTCAGGACTTCTATGTGGCGCGAAATTTTACTGACCTTATTCAACAGATACACAGGGCCATATACTAGGTGATTCATGATGGAATGCAGAAAGGTGTAAGACAGCACCACTGGTGAGTTCAGTAAATGCGGGTGACTGGGTCTTACGACAGGCCGTGGGGAGGGAATAGACAGACATGTGTTGGACTGAAAAAATAGCCGAGAAGATGTGGTTTTCGCGAAGATTTGTGTTTCGTGTAGTACGAACAGGGAGGAGTACAAGTGAAATGCAACAAGTTACCAGGGGAAGCAGCAAATACAAGACTTCATCTAGACATGCAGGGGACATAGGTGGTGAAGACACTTTACAACAATAGTTATCAGTTACTACCGACTGCCGAAATCTGAAGAAAATCATCTCCTCTCATCGAAACAGCATCTTCTCAACTACGGGTGCTGTGGATGAGAATATCAAAGACAGCTAGGTTATGAGAAGTAAGACAGACTTTCATTATTCGGAAACCGATGTGGAAATCTACTGTACTCAACATAAGGAAAAATATTTGAATGTTTAGTCAGTGCTTCTACATTGATCAGAGACTTGACGTGTCACGAAAGTCATTTTCAAAGGACTGGAGACTCTTATTAACAGCCGTATTTTCATGCTCAGTTTTGGAGGTCGGATATCTGGCGGGGAAAGATATGCGATAAGGAATTCTGGTGTCAAGCGATCCAACGATCCATCTCATAGCAATTAGGATAGAGGAGGTGGAGATATGTTGGGCAGACGTGAAGCAGACCTGAGTATCTTTCGTAAACTACGAATAAATAAAACGAATCTATTTATTTGTTACCATATTGGCGATACGCGTAAGCTAGAGTCCTCACGCACAATAGAGTGGATATGGATATCACTCATATTATGATATTATTGTTCAGTACACGAGATAAAATTGAAAGTAATAGGGAGAGCGGGTAGTCATTTTTAGTGTAGGCTAAAATATCTCCCTAGTCTCATAACACCACTAATTCATTACTGTAGTCGTCCGAATTGGCATTCATGCACCTAAATGGCCACTGTCTTACCAGTTTGGAAATGGCTGAAACATTCACTTCAGCCTTTGACTTGTAGTTTTAAAACACTCCGAGTGTTGCTGCTATAACCTACAGGGCCTGCTATGCCACATCACCCAACGAAAACCAAATGGGTACACTAAGTAGTAGCCTATCAGTGATTCTAGTGAAACTACGAATATTAACCCAAAGAAAGTTCACGTGTTTTTTACGATATTTTTTAATTCATGGAGAATTTCCATTGTATGTATAAGGTTTTTATACCAAGAAATTAAATCCTGTGAGGGAATTGAATCATAGGCGTGAATGCATAAAATAATAATAGTAGTAGCATGAAATGCAATTAAAGTGTTTGTGGTTATAATCATAGTTAAATGTCAAGTGGCAAAACAATTAATGTCTTATATAGAGAATAATTCATAGGATGGATAGAACTTGCAAGGGGTGTGCCATTATAACATTAGTAGGCAAATAGAATAAAATAAACACTTTACGTAATATTACGCGAAATTTGAGAGCATAGAATTTAACGTTGCAAAACAGAATTGATTTAGAATGAAAAGTGGAACGAAAGAAGCGATACCGAGGACACTTCAGGATAAGAATGATAATAGCAACAATTAACATTGTAATTATTATTGATCCAATTCCACCATGAAGAAGACTGGAGTCGGAAGACCGATATACCAAACTCCACACGACCAGGTGGATCGATAAAGGCACATAGAGTTGGTCAGCTGTGTGATCCTGTCCTTCAGGTAACTGAACAGTAATGGCCGGCTGTTAAATGCTATTTTCAAAGATGCGGCAGTGCGTCCGGTGTTCTTGGCGAAGCTCAATGTCAGGGGTTTCATAGGATACTATCCAGGAGCCCTCAGTGTAGCTGATTTTCATCAATGAACTGTTTTGCCGTATGAACTGTCGCGCTCTTCTTTACTATTGTATGACGAAGACTTGCAGAGCAATAAGGTATCCA